ATATATTTCTTTAGTATAGCTAAATAGAAAATAATATTTAAGCGTTCTTGTAGCAAGAGACTTAAGAAGTATCTTAGACTAGAAGAAGGGATGCGAGACGCATAGCGCGCCCTATAGAGTAGTACGCGCTAGACCTGCTTATAAGGTGCGCCTCGCTCTACAAAAGAGGGCAGAAATTGTTCTCTTTACTGCCTGCGTTTATAGTCTTAATATATAAGCTATCTCTCACTATCCTTAGTAACGTAAAGCAAGCACTATTGCCTACAGTTACGCCTTACAACAACAGTGCATTGAGTATCATTGACGATTCTATTATTTGACAACAGCCTCTATTACTTGCGCTTATTAAAACCATCTGTTAGTAGCGGGGTATGTGAAAGAGCCTCCCAGTGATGGCAGGCGTACATTTGCTCGTCAGAGCCGCTAATATCATCTTTACCACGTTTGTAAACGTCTGCATTATACGATCCAACAACAGTAGCGGGATCCTTGTTCGCATTGATAACCTCGGTGATTGCTTGGACATATCTTCCAGCGTCTTCGAGTGCGTTGTTAAGACCCTGGGCACGGTCTGGACAGGTGATCAGATAAGCCTCATTTGTTAGTGTTTAGGGGAAGCCGCTTACAAGGAACCATGGGGTGCGCAGCATCCCCAGCAATTGTCATCCTTCCATCGTAGTTCTTCCAGGGCTGAATATTCTTCCAGGTAGCAAACTAAACCTCTGTCAGGAGCGTTGAAGTGGAAATAAGTTCGGCTAGTCACCTACACGATCTAGAGGAATCTTAACATCATCCCCGACCCACTCTGCTAGATATTTCCAGGGCTCGCAATAGTTGGCTGCTAGCTGCTTGAATAGTCGGGACCGTTCTTCATATGTCTGGGGTTGTTGACCTTCGTTCCAAATCGACAGGGATATCGAAAAGAGCCAGCCCTCTGGCTTGTCAGCATCGGGGACATCAGCGACTGATGAGACAGATTAACGATTCAGTCGCAGCGAATGGGTATGTCCACAATAAAACTTACGCGTTATGAAGAAGTAGGTCTTCTGGTCGGGATGAGGTGCCAACTAAGCACACGATCAGTTGAGGCCGTTACATGATTAGCTTTGTTCAGCGACTGACCGTTGCGATTGGATGAATCTTGCTGCGAAGGTAGCGAGCTTTCTCAGCGTCGAAAGAGCAGGCAAAACTCTAGAACTGGTAAGAGGACAGTATGAACAGCATTCTCAGTTGTTAATTTGGGCCGAAGACTTACGAGAATAGTAACAGGGGCGGGATGCAACTCGCTTGCATCTACAGGTACGAGCAAACTGCGGACTTTGCTTCTCGCTGATCGAAATGTAAGGATGAAGAGCTTCTGGCACAAGGGATAATACTCACGCCCGTCTGCGCCCACAAGGTAGCGTCCTCTTCGGACTTCAACGCCATCATTGAACGTAGCTGTTACTGTATCACCTTCGACGGAGACGCTGTCCAGTTTCATGCCGAATTGAATGTCCAACCCTGTTCCGAATAAGTCGCGTAATCGTCCCCTTTGAACTCTCCTTGGTCCCTCGGCTTTGACGTAAGTCAAGAGCTCCCCTGTTTTGCCGTTCATGAGCGGTATCGTTCTTGCATCTCCATCGGACAGCACAGCCCATGGATCTGTTTGTGCTTCATTCAGTCTAGCGAAGAGCTCTGGAGGCAGACAAGCCTCTACATTGGGTGTCGCCCAGTGCAGTGCCATACTCCAGACACCAGCCCGTTCGACGTATTTTTCGAGACTATGTTGTTCAAAAACCGCGACAGATATATTAGCCTAGACATTTGTCAGTTCTACCGTTGGATTGGAAGGAGCGAGAACTGTCAATTGACTCACCCGCTTCAGACCCTGCGCGATAAGCAAGCCAGTGGCACCTAATCCGTTGTCAAACCAGGTTTTGAACAAAGGATACAATTATGGTTACCAGCTCCGATAATTAGAACTTGTACAGTCTCCCCTGAGGTCATCTTCGCTATCGTTATTGCGGTTAGTGTTCGTTGTTGTCATGGAATGGGTTTAGGGAGCTACGATTTGCGAAATTTTAAGGATGGAGTCTGTAGCCTCTTAGGACCATGGCTTTAAAGACACCTCTCATGCAGCTTCTGCAAGAGAAAGGTCATTGCTCATGTTCCAGTTTTCTTCGGATACGGAACTTTCGTGACAAAGGACTGATATTAACGCATGTTGCTCGTAAAAGCGGCACGCGACTGCCAAAAAAAACCCCTCAGTTAATCAGAGTGGGTCTGGTAGTATCGCGAGGACGTTGTTGCATGGAGTTAAGGAAGGATACGCGGCTGTTGTACTTTCGGTCTAAGTGAAAGACCGAAGTGCGCTCAAGCTACTTCGGTCCGAACGCCGATTGTTCGCATGCCGATGGTCCCGACATCAGCGACGTGTCAGGTGGTTGCACTTAGCGTCCATCACCCGAGTCTCCTAACCATTGCTTTTGGGATTTCTTGTGAGATTGACTTTTTTGAAGGATAGAACTTGAACCCGACATTGAACTTCATGTACATTCCAGTTATTTCGCTTCACTACAACCAGAGTTTTGCGTCTTCTCCATCCTATATTATGGACTTGAACTCGATGGAACACCTCGACCTAATTTCTGACAAGGCAATAGCCGGTGTCTTCAATCCGGGCGGTCATTACAAAGATCCTCCACTTGCAGAATCAGATCCTACTGTTGGTTACAAACTCAATCATACGATGATGCGCATCAGGAACCCGAAACGCTCTCTACACTTCTACATCGACTTGATGGGAATGCGGACCATTTGGACCATGAATACTGGACCATTCACTATCTACTACCTTGCCTATCCACCAACGAAGCAGGACCGAGCTGATCTCCCAGATTGGGCGGCAAAGACATCTCAAGGGAGTAGCCTCTTACATAGTAGGGGTCTCTTGGAGCTAAAGCATATCCATGGCTCGGAAAAGGCTATTGAAGCCGGTGGCTACGAGATGACCAGCGGCAATCACCCACCAAACTTAGGGTTTGGACACTTGGGTTTTACTGTTCCAGATGTCAAGGCTGCAGTGGAGAGATTGAGAACTGCTGGAGTCCGGGTTGTCAAGGAACTTGGGTTTAATGGACGTGCGAGCATCCCTCTGACCGATTGGGAAAGACAACGTGGCGTGGGGGTAGATGAAATGGCCCAAAACTACAAGGAGACGCTGAAGCAAGTTGCTCATGTTGCGGATCCGGTAAGTCATTTACCGTCTTGCTTAACATTACTGATACACGGATAGGATGGTTATATAATCGAGCTGGTCCCCCAAATCTTCGCCTGAGCTTGCATTGCTTGGCAAACTTGGACGGTTACTCAATAAGGAATGGTTAAGAGACACATGGATTGTTTGTGCAGAGGAATTGTGCTGCCCTGCGTTCGTTTGTCGATCTTCTTGATCGCTCGTGTGCTCAAGATCACGAGTGTTGTCCGGCACATCGATTGATGCGGCCCACACCGTTAATGCGGGTAGCGAACACACAAGGTTCATGTAGCGTAGCTCTGGTGTCTCCTAGAGACATGTGCTCACCGTAGTGTAGGAAATTCCCATTATCTACAGGCTCGACAAGATCTATCCCCATGAAGCCCATGGTGTCCGCAAATATGCCAAGTTCCTAGAATGAAGGAATATCAACAATGCTTTGTACATTTGAAAAGGTCTCTTGCTTAACGAACATCGACCGATCCTTGCATAGCAGGTGTGATGTTTTCGTCGCGGCAGCGGGTGTATCCTCAGTTTCCCCGGGCTGTGTTCGCTCATCATAGAACTGCGCACCGTGAGTGGGTGGGTTCTAATCGCTGTATTGCGTTGGATTATATTTGTCGTGCCGTCATTACTAAAAAGCGAATGACCTTGTCGCGTATGTCGCGTCAGAAGATCTCGTAGAGTACAGTTTTTCTCACAGTAGCACTGGTAGGGTTTCTGCTTGATGTCTGCTTGAAACATCAATAGCTATCCGAGAAAAGCTTCAATGACCATGGACGTCTCCTTAAAGATCTCTGTAGATTTTCAAGGCAACTAGAGCGCAGTGAGCATGTAGAGCATATATTTAACGTAGAACCTTCGATTGCATCCAGGGTGGTGTTGAGAAAATATCATTCTATAGCGCTTCCAAGATTGCTGCAGAAGGAGTCCGTGCAGAGGGGATGTAAAACTCAGGACGCTGTTACTTCATAGAGCATCATCGGTCATACTCGAGTCAGCTTGTGAGTGCGGTACCAATTTCTCTCAACTTACGCATGAACTGCTACAAGGGAGTGTTTATTCGCGTTTGCTGTCAGATGGCCGATGACCTGCCTCCTCGCTGTCTGTGTATGTATGTAGACGATCAATGATTCAGTGCTTATTGGGATCCACTATAGTATAGACCAAGTACGGCCAATCCAGAAATTCTATCTAGCTCCGGTATCAAAATAGCCACTTCTCAGCTAACTAGACAGCTTTGACACCTACGACTCACACTATCTAGAACTATAAGTCGACCTGCAGCTTCTCATCTAAGCCTCTCGATCTAAACGCTTGAAATTTTAATCGCCTCAGCTCAAAGCGCGTCCATTCCCTCGAACTTACAGACTTAGATCGCTATCGCGATTGCGGACAAGAAGCACAAGGCGGTAGTTGCAACACTTACTAGCGATTAGAACTTCAATCGTCTCGTTAAGCTCCTCTGTTCCTGCTTTTCTGTGCAGATCCGAGTCGCTTGAGCAAGATGTCTGAAGAGCAGGATCAACCTAGTAAGGGAATAGAGAACATAGATATGTGCGTCATAGTGACTATCGATGCAGCTGTGGCTTCTCAGGACGCCTCTCTTGCGGCTGAGTTGTTGCGACTAGGCGTTTTCGCTCTCGATGTTTGATATCGCAATTTTTCGAACAAATGTAAGGGCTTGCCAACCTTTGAACGATTCGGGTTATCGTGGTGGTGAGTATGTGCAGTCTAACAATTGCATGAAGTTAAGACCGCAGAATGTAAGGAGCTAAGATCGAGGAGATGTTTCGCTGGCTGGGTGCCTAAGCTGACAGAGCCCTCCTTACTGGTCCCTATGCATGTGCATCACAACCCCTGCGATCAAGGAGAACATGTATGATTGGACGAGGAGTTACGTTAAAAATGTAGTGGCAGGGATTGGTACAGCCTGTCGCAGTGTCTGAAATGGCAATAACGCCTGCGAGAGTGCTCGTTTCTAGTAATTCGTCAGATAAACACTAAGAGGCTGAGAAAACGCGCAAGAAAAAGAAGCAGGCATCAGTTTCGATGACGATGCATGAATAGTGGGGAGTCGATGCTCTTGCACTGAGCACTTTCCAACATGTAGAATGATAGATGATACCCCTATGTCGATTCTTATTGTTATATGTTGTTTTCACTTTGTGGCTACCTCGATCTACCTTAGTAGCTGCTCCAGAACACTGGCTGGAGTAATTTTTGGTGGTGCAAAGTCAAGAATCTCCTGACTCGTTGGTACAGTCGGAAGAGGAGAGTCGAATGTCTCATCTGCTGCTTCCTTCATCGTGTCGCTCAGATGTTTCAATTCCGGGGAAGCCGCTGCGAACTCATCCAGCATTGAGTTGTCCCTGAAAGCAACGTGTTCAACCTTCGATCCAATACGTTCCTCTACCATCGCCACGATTTGAGCGCCGGTAATACTTTCTGGGCCATTCAGAACGTATTTTGCTTTGTTGTGCCTTGCAGTGTCGTTTTCAAGTAATAGCTTCGCTGCAACCACGCTGACGTCCATGGGTTCAATGGCTCCGACAGGTTTGTCTTTGTTACTCATAAGTCGGAGTGTGTCCTGTTTTCCTTCCCCGTTTTGCACCTTTTTTATCATCTCGGCAGCGGACGACAACCACATCCCGAGAAAGACGTTAGGTTGGAGAGAAGTCCAGTGCAATTTGTCGTAAGTCGAAGACTCGAGCATCTTTTCGATAGCCCAGTGTTGACGTGGATAATATGCTGGACAATCCGGACGTACGTTTGAAGCTGTTGTAGAGATTCGCACAACATACTGCACTCCAGCTTTAAGAGCTGCATAGAAGAAACCCGACTCCTCAGTGAATTGGTTGGGTTGGTTATGCGAGGCGATGAACACCCTTTCTACTCCATGTTCGCGGAGCCATTGAGATGTAATTGTAGGCCAGTTGAGCTCTACAACTTCGACGTTGGATAGCTTCGCGAACTCCTTGGCAGTAGAGCTGTTGGCTGAGCGTGTCTGAGCGATGATGCGATGTTCAGAGAAGGTTGAGCTGGCTCGAATGGTGTCTGATAAGAGTTCCACCACCCCACGACCCGTGTTTCCTGTTGCACCAACAATGAGAAAGGACGGCGACATAGCTGGAACGATTGCGTGTATTGAACGATAGATGAGACGAGAGAAGATAGCTTGTTGGAATCTGCATTGTTGCGACTTTCGATGCAACTTTAATATGAAGAGTTCCGAGACTTCAAATGTTCGAGTGCCGCCGCAGTTTGTCCGACTACTACTTTGCTCTTAGGAGCGGAAGCGGAGTGAGAGTAACTACTCAAGCGGCGAAATAGCGCCATCTCTCTGCAAACGGACGGCCGTGCCCGCGGAGCGGGGCGATCTTCCGATATCAGGCCGGACGAACATCTGCTAATCACTGACTACACGATCCCACACGTGCGATACGGCCATCAAAACCTGGTTTGAACGACATTAGGAATGACGACCAAGAACTCCGACCTTCTTGTCATAAACACAAATGATGCGATCAAACTGGGGTCTACATTGTAGCGCGATCGTAGCCAGGGTGATCGAAGTCTCAGGAGTGCTCTAATTCCAATACTGTCGTTGCACGCATTACATCCCATTTTTTTCAACTCGGGCTCGCTCCCGAGCTGCTGCAAGACCGACGGGTGCTGGCAGTCCCCTCTTGATGAGGGTTTGAAGAGACGAATATTGCGGATACACGCATCTGTTTATCGGAGTGATATTCCCTGGGGACGTCGTGGAGAATGATGCGAAGGTGCAGAGAGATCAATGGTATCGCGAGTCGGAACGTGGTGCCGCTAAAATTCGCCGCGGGAGTCCTGCTGGGCCCACCAATGTCGGCGGCTGCTACCGCCGATAGCCTCGGAGTGCTTCAACACGTGCAGTCGCGCATCGCAGTCCACGACGCGCTTTGTCTTCGACACGCTCTGACGACCGGTGAGAGACATGCAAAGTTCCTGCGAATTCGAGTGCATCCATCTGACAGAGAAGTAGACATTGGTAGATGTCGACGCAATGCCTCGCGATGGATTACAACTAGCAATGACCATACGAGCAGGTTGCGTCGCTGGCCGAGCTCACGTACACGGCCCACCATTCTGCATCATATCTTCATGAACACGACGGGAACACCAACATCAACACCAGCATCAATGCCTGCTACAGCAGTTACTATATACACCGGTCGCAGACAACTGGTTCCATACCCATTTACCATCGTTTTACCACGATGAAATTATCGCACAGGCATCGGTACAGGGTTGACGCAACTCTGCCATGTCGAGTTATTCGATTTGGACACCTGTAGGTCTCGTCAGCGTAGCTTCTCATCTTCCCGTTTACACTCACGTTGAAAGCCGTCGCATACGGGTCCCAACTAGGATCTATATGCGGCGCATACTCAATCACATTCAGCATGTAACTCAGCGGCTGCGCGCCGTAGAGTCTGCTAAATAGGGCATATGTAGCATCGAGACCTACGTTGTTAGCGAATGCGCCATCACCGCTATACGAGCTTCTCCGCCAAACGTACCAGATGCCGTTCCTGACGTGGTCCAGATGTTGCCATCCTCGACCCAGCGTGCCTGCGGCACCCACGTAACGTTCGGACCGCGCTCCGTTATCCAAGTCCACCCAGACTTGTTCGTCGTCGCTCGCTTGCCGTCCAGAATACCAGAGCGCGCCAGAGTCGCACCGCCGAAGCTCACGCCGACCAGGTACTCGAGGGACGCATATCGCAACTTGACGAAGTCTTCCACGCTAGTGTTGTTCGTCTGCTCTAACGTCACGACACCGAGGCCACCGGGCACGAACAAGATATCAAGCGCCGGAGCGTTCTTGAAGTTGTGGGTAGCCTCAACGCGAGGCGCGATGACGTGTCCGAAGTCGGTTGGCGGCGCGCTGAAGTCGTCAGGGCCGTAGGGCTGCATACCAGCAGGGACCAGACCGGTTTCTTCGGCGATGATGGAAAGGGTCATCTTTTTGAAGGCCGAGAGCTGTATCGACCATATCAGCGCTGAGCATCAAGCATATCGAGTGTTTTAGGCTTCATACTACGGTGAGAATCTCCATGGGACCGAAGACATCGAGGAGCTCGAATCCGGGAAAAATGACCTGATCATAGTAAGTGCATGAGGTTTGTGACTTGTTGAGGTAATCATACGAATCCCACAGAGAGAGTGCGCATGGAATTGAGCTCCGGCGTGAAGACGGGCATGGAGCTATTTCCTTCCTGACACATCATCGAAGGGATCAGCCCGGAAAAGAGCGCAATGCCAACCTGAAGAGCCTTGGAATGCATAGTGCACGGTGTTTGCAGTGCCAATAATGATTGACAGTGGTCGTGATTGTCGCTGTTCTTATAGCAATACTCTCTTGGGATGCAAGGGATGATCTACCTCAAAAGTCATCTTACACTGTCGACTTGCACGATGCCGCCATCGCAATTCAGCCCTGCATTCCTTCGATCTCATTGGCCCAGTTGGCTCGATGCGAAGATCGTTGCAGCCAGGCAGACCTGCTCTTGGCCCTTTCAGGTAACGGCTATGGGGAGGAGCCCTCGGTCTGTGCCTGGTAGAATGAGCGAAACGAAAGCAGGCTTGCAGCAACTTGCTCATTCGGCGGAAGGAAGCACTTGTATGGGGGCCTAATGCTCAAAGTAAGCCTTTGACAGTATGCGTGAATTTGAGCACATTTGCGGAACGCGTGCGCATGAATCTTGTATGGCGGCCTGCAGTAACGATCCACCCATTCAATCAGATATACGACAGACCTGCGAGGAGAGTCACGTATATAATTGCTTCTTGTGGCTTTCATCTTTTGCTTGGGAACCTGAAGTCGCGGCGCTAGTAGGGTTGCCTAGCCTGACAATTTGTCAGCGGGATAGTACACAGTATCCGGGTGACTAACTGTAGCTTCCTCTTCTATTTAGGTGGCATGCTTTCGGATCTGCTAGAAATCGGACTCGGCAGGGCTCCCAATACGTCAGTATCAAAGCATTGATTGTGAAGCTTCAGATGTCTGCGCAACGATCCTCGCACGCGTCGATAGGTAGGAGTTCACGAGTCACGAGAAGTCAGGCGATATGCACCACTCGCTGGCCGACTGAAATTCTGGAGAGGCTTTTCTGAAATATCTCTAGCTGTACTAGCCACTGCTTTGCTCCACTTATGGCCAACTTCTTACTCAGACTGCGAGGTCAACGTCAAATCCCAGCAACGGTATAGGTGATCGCCTTAGATTCATTTTCCTATCGCACGACATATTCCCGTCGACTCAGACTTGTTCATCAACATCCGCTCGCCGCTCAGCACACCCTCGCAAGCGTCGCGCTGCCGGAGCCCACGCCGACCGTATCCTAGCGACGCATATCGTGATCCGACGAGATTATCCACACTGGTGTCGCTCGCCTTTTGCAGCCTCGCGAGACTCAAGTCACCGGGCAATAAACATTCCTCGTTTAGTATTGGAGGGCGTGACAGGTCGCGAAACTGCCGAGGTACAAAATTGCGGGGAGAGTGTTTCGCATCAATCTAGGATGAAATCACAACTGTTGGATCGATATCTGCACTACATACCAGCTGACGATACTAAGAGAGATTCGTCGCAAGTAACATGGTTGGCCCGGTGCCTTCGTATGTTCAGAGCAACTATCAGTTGACTTGGTAGAGAATACTCCAGACCAGGTTAGGCATGCCGCAATTTATCAACAATTACCAGGCCGATTGTCGCGACCAATTGCAAGCAATATTGCCTTCTGTAAGCTCTTGATATATGCAAACTGGCTCAACTCGTCGAATGCAGGGCTTCTGTTGTACGGTGGTGAGAGTTTTGAACATTGCGCAGTGCCGAGTCGGGTCTCCCTAGAACATGGCCGACTAAGATGAACCTTGTACGTCATCTCTCTTCCCAGCACCTATGGACATGTCCTGTAAAACAGATCATCGTTACTAGTGCATCAAGAGGTCAAAGCATGCGACCCACTTACTAACGTGTGCCGAGGTCGTTGTAGCGTACGTCAAATGAGTTGTGGCTTGTCGGTTATTAATTCCGAACTGCCAAGTCCTCGAGTGTTTCTTTTGCCTCTCCTCTGCGTCTCTCCCAGGCACATCCTGGCGAACGATCAAAATGTTCACGTATCGCATCTCTTCGTCGACTTTGCGAGCCGAGGCACGCAACATGGCGTAGTGCAACGTCGTCGAGATGTGGGAAACGAAGGCCGGCAATGTCATTGATGAGTTTCACGTCAGGCAACGATGTGTGGCTGCTACTCAAAGCAAGCAGATATATAATTCGACTTTGTGCTCAAAGATAGCAGAGATATCAGCAGAGATTACTTTAAAGCAATCACTCGTTGGCAGTCAAACTCCGACATCCTTTCGTTATCATTCATCTTTAAGACCCCTTGTGGCCTCATCGCTCTTTTCATCCTCTCGTTCATAATCATCATGAAGCTATCATCAGTTATCAGTTTCTCTGCCATCTTTGCGTCAGCCTTGGCTTTCCCTACCCATGGCAATGTCAACGCCCGCCAGACCTGGCAGCCCAGGAATTGGACGGCTCCGGGTCCAAACGATGGTTAGTCGAGTCATTTGATTGTGTATCTCTGGTCACGATGAGAACATCCCACTGATGAATGACTCAACAGCTCGCGGCCCATGTCCTGGTCTCAACACTCTCGCCAATCATGGGTACTTGCCGCATAATGGCCGGGAGATCACACGCGATATCCTTGCTGATGCAATGCTCAATGGCTTCAACATCGCCAAGAGCGATGCTATCATCCTCTTCTCACAGGCCGTACGCACCAACCCGAAGCCGCTCGCACGTACGTTCGACCTCGACACTTTGGGCCGTGAGGGCGTACTAGAGCATGACTTCAGCCTGAGGTAAACATACTATTCTTCTACCACTTAGCATTTCTAACGCGTCAACCACTTGCAGTCGCTCTGATCGCTTCTTTGCCGACCCTCTCCCATTCAATGAAACCGTCTGGGCCGAGACTGCCTCCTTCTTCAAGACACCAGAAATCACGATACAACAGCTAGCCGACGCCCGCATGGCACGACTCGACACATCGAAGCGCACTAACCCAGAGCACAAGACATCGTTGTTGGCTGATGGTTTCAGTTGGGGTGAATGCGCTTCTTTCTTCGAGATCATGGCTGATGGTACTACGAGCACTGTGAGGAAAGACTTCATTGAGTACTGGTTGAGTAAGTTTCAACATTTCTTGAGCGAATTCGCAGAGATTAGTCGCTAACGTGCATATGATGTAGGGAACGAGCGCTTGCCTACTGAGATTGGTTGGACTCGCCGTTCGACTGTCATGGAGACTAGCGAGCGTACCAAGTTCACACGTCTTTTGATGGAGGCTGCTGGCCAGGGCACTGGCCTTTCCTCGTTGGCGTGAGCAACTCTTGCAGCTTCTAGCTTTGTTTCACTAGCGAGAAGCCATATCGCGCATTCAGCTCCTGAGGTTGATATCAGAGCATGCAGGCATGTAGATTCAAACATGCGCTGAATCACACGTCAGTCAAACTATATACGTGGATGGTGTCGTATTGTGAGCAAATCGAAATTGTATGATAAACATTGCACCTCTCCCACTGCCTTGATTCGTTTAGACTGCATAATTACAAGAAACACGCTACGACAATGTACGTCAAATCAATCATACTCCTGCTATACATTATCGAAGACAATTCCGTCCTTTGTACATTCTGAGCAATGAGTGTCCTCGCCAGCTCGTCGAACAGCTGGTCCAGCCGCTGCCATTATAAGCTTCTCCAATAAAGAGCATTCCTCACTGCGCCGTTCCCCTGTACTGCTTTGCGGCGAGCGTTCGTCACCATTGTCTTCGCCACAGTCGTGGTGAGGAGTGAGTTCGTGAAAACAAGCTCTATTCCCACGTCACAGGTGCAAACCTCACAAACTTGACCATCAAGCGATTCGCAAGGTCCCCAAACCTCCCTGCAAATCCCAAGAAACAGTCCGTACCCGGCTGCGCCGTCCACGTGGCCCACTGATCCCCTTGGCCAGCGTGGGTCTGGTACCTACCCTGATTCGTGACTATCGTAATCTCCTTGCAAAGCCAGTCGTTTGTCGCGTAGTGCACGCTCACTTCCTGTATCACCTGCGAAATGTTCGAGAGGTCCCACATGCCATTATCCATCGAGTCTCCAGGGTGACCAGCGGTAAGCATCTCTGTCGACCCGTCGGTTTCATACTGGACCCGCGTGCGGATCGAGTTGATGTCATCGCCCGACCAGACCTCGATGCCAGTGACACGCATTTGACGCAGGATAGCGTTGCTGGAGACGTTGTCGAAAGGATCGCCGCCCCAATCACCGCCAGCGCCGGGGCCGATCATGATGGCGTGAGAAGCGGCCGGCATTTGGATGTCGGTCGCTTCGAGGGGTCGCTGGCTATCTTTGGAGCTCCAAATCATAGGCACTGGTGGGTGGGCATGCTCAACATCTTCCTCAGCACTAGCCTGCCAATTGTCAATGGCGTCGATGTACCCTTTGTACGTGGTCTGACGAGCGTCGAGTGTATTGTCGGCCGCTCTGCAACCGTATACGTCATAGATAGCACGGACTAAGGCGATGCTGTCCAGGGCATGCTGCGCGGCCACGCGAATGGTTACAAGGCCTTTGGCCGGAGCCATTCGGTTGGCGAAGATCGATCGGAGCTTGTCCACGTTGGTCATTTTCGGACGCCCCTCCACGGTATTGTACGACTGTGTCGTGAACTTGAGGATGACAGGGGCGTCAAGCTCGGCTGTGCCAAAGTCCAAGGCGAACTGCCCGATGTTGTTCGCGTCGGGCAGCTTACCGTGACTTTGGCCAAAGATCTTTTGAACAAAGGTGTATCTGCTCCCGGTATATGAGCTAGCGTTCGTGATAGTAGTGTCCAACCTTGCTTGGAGGCTAAAGCCAGCAGTATGAGCACTCGCTTTAGCGCTGTTAGCGAGCTGATCGCGCTCCTGGATGGTCTCGGCATCGAACTGGTAGAACGCAATGTACTGGCCTCCGAGCGTGGTCGTTGCAACGAAAGAATCACCACCGACAGAGTAGAGGTCGTTGGCAGAGTTCAAAATCCATTTGTGGTCTTGGCTGAATTTGGCGCCGGTGATTTCATCTGTGCCGAGAGTTCTGTTTGCCACAACCATGATGAGGACGGAGGTTGTCGACTTGGCGAATGAGCGCGTGTATTGCAATCGATCATCGAAAGAGCCAAACGAGCAGTTGGCTTCGACGCTCGCGTCAATGCTGAGAGCCGAGCATACATCTGTCATGGATGTACAGACTTGGATGTTCGCGTCTATGCCCCCTCCGCGTTGTTTCGTATCCACTTTGCCAGTAACAACAGTATCACAGCCCTCATTTCTGAATGAGGAGAAGCCTTGACCGACCGCTGTTACGGCTCTGGCCATTTTGTGCAACGAGTAAACGATTTGAATTTGGGAAAGGGAGGAGTTCTGAACTTCTTGATGAGCGGACGACTTGGACCAGGAAAGATAAGTGTTTGTTGGCTTCTTGAAGCCTCTATCTCGACATCTCTGGGCCTTTATACACGTGGGTAATGTAAAGGTTTTCCGATCCCACTAGCGGGAAACAGACCTCAGCCGCACTGTCACTAAGAAGAGGACCCTATGAAGATGGATTCATTGGGTCCGGCGCGATAGCTGCACGACGGCGCCAGCTGAGAAGGTGAGATATGGTCGAAGCCAGAGCTAATGCTCTGAAGCACTCCAGCTATGCTTGAGAATACCAGAACAAGAGTAATGGATACGCGGAGCTTATTGTTATGCTGGAACTTTGATTAGCAAATCAGACTCCATTTGCACTTGTAGGAAAGAATGGTTTCGTCCTGATCTTTTTCTGACGTTCCCAGGTAGTTGAGAGGCGGGATGGGGCTCTTGGGGGTGTGGCTTCTCATTGCACCGGACTGCAGCCACGATTATCCTTTGAGCTGAGCGCAACGCACTAGTGTGCGGAGAAGGTCATCCTGTTCTGACGGCTATTGGACTCCAGGAGTAGGCGGAGTATCAGCTTGGGGTGTATAGGCAAATCATAGTCTGTGCTAGAAGGCTGAGCGCTGTTATACATACCCTTGCTGCTCAGCCTTGTACAACAGTGACGATATCATGTCGCGCTGCGAGTTCTCACTTTCCGCGTGCAACACTTCAATCACGACAGGCTGAGTATATCCTCCCTATAAATTGTTAAAGCTTAGTTCAGAAAGAGATTGGCAGAACGAGTAAAGACGTTGATCATCGGCACAGCTAGATCACGACGGAGACCTCAGCTGAGCTGCAGGCGGACCAATTGGACCCCACATCTACCGCACCCACTGGGCCGTGAGTGGCGCAAGGCTTAATCCAGCCACGGCTGATAGGCGGTACGTAATAATGCAGGCGAACGCGGGTAGGGTAGGCCAAAGACATCGCGCACAAAGAAGGACGACAAATCAAGACTTGCTTTTTGAGTATCTCTGAAACTTAGCGTCAACGTGAGCTTAACGCTAGACAGTACTGCTCAAAAAGATTGCCGCGAGACGGAACCCGCACACGATAGATATACACACGTAATCTGACCAATGACCAGGCCGATCCCACTCTTTGGGTGGTCAGCGAAGGATGCCACATTCGCGTGAAAAACATACGCGAAGACAAACCCAGTACCAAGGAAGATCATATCAACGGAAATTATACGTCCGCGGAAACGAGCGGGAGCTGTCTTGCAATATACACGGTACGGTTTGTGCCTTGAACCCTGACACCATCAACCCTACAAGCTGCGGGGTTGCAGATTCGTGTCAACGTGCAACTCGGCGCTCGGGTCGACATATCCAAATCTTGGAGCTGCTGGCCTGCGGGAACTTAACTCGACCAGCTCGTGAACGCTACTCATCCAAGCCCCCCATGCCCAACAATACGCCGTCTTTGGAATATCTCGTCCTCAACGAAAACAGTGCCTTAACGCAACCAAGGGCCGAGTCGACTTGAGGCTCTGGAAGAGGAAGTTACGATGTAGATGATAGGTGAATAGCTGTTCACGTACGAGAGGAATGAGTGAGTAGGTATTTATTTAAGCCTCATTCAAAAGATCGACTCGATAACGAATGTGTGTGTTTCTTGAACTTTATGGCGCGCCCGGCATGATACACCGGCACGTAGTGGGCCCTACCTACAAGTAATAGGTTACTACTATTGCCGTCTCAGCACTCAGAAGCACTCAACAATAAAAGACCCGAAAGTGTAGTTAACCCAGTCTCCCACCTCCGCAAGTCCGATCGCAAAAGCCTCGTCGCCATCGCAATCATTGTTAGTGTATAGGCGCACCTCGCAAGTGCCGCCGTTCGTCCTGTCGACGAGCGATATACACGCTGAGTTGCTCGATTGATAGCAGGTAGCTTGAATTGATCATCAGTATCCGTTCTAGTAGCACGCCGTCAAGGTACGGTAGGGAACGTACTTTCCTGGCCACGGAGGTGGGAGCCAAGTTGCACTCTAGCGCCACGGCAGCCGCCGCCGCCCTCGTTGCCAGTTCCCGTGTACGACTGGTAACTGGCGCCAGGCGTGCCTTGACGCTTTTCGATCACTCTGGCGCTAGCGATACCGCAGGCGACGAGGGCGATTGCGAAAGTTCTGAAGTTCATATTTAGATGAGTGGAGCGGTTGTGGCTTGTGAATGTGTGTATGTTTAGAGAAAGTGAAGATAGCGTTACTGGATAGCGATGGGGCTGTACTATATATTCCTTTGTCTCAACATCCAGCTTGGCCGAGCAGCAGATCACGATCTCTTCTGACACCTCTCGCAACAAGAGGGCTTTAGCCAGCCGAGCACACTAGCAGGTCATGACGTATGAATAGGATAGGGCAGATGTTCGACCTATCCCGTTGTGGGCCCGAAGGAACATCTCGATCTCTGAACGACCGCAACTAATACTACCTATGTATTGTGTCGTCCGGTTAGCTCTCCCTAGGGAACACAGAGATTCTTGGCGCAACTAGCGTTAAGTAGCTGATACGGTGGTCTAAGTAACTAAGCTAGTGATCAGTGTGATTAGTGTCATCAGTACGGCTAAGCAACTGAGCATTGGTGAGCGCAACGAATCTCCTTAGTATATAGAAAGTTGACAATGTCTTTGATATTGACAGTTTAAGTTATTGTTCATAGTTTCTGCTTAGAATTGGACCATCTGCTTATATAATGCCTGATGCGTCTATCCTCCTTTTGAAGAGATGCAATCGCGATGTTCCGTCCATTCCTAGTATGTATTGTAGATCGTCTCTTTGGCGTTACGACATAGCCGACTCTAGTTATGTTAATGACGATATTCCATCGTCATGCCACAAGGATACTTGCGGCTTGGTGTTATTGTGGGGTGCGATCATGAGCCCGAGACCTTTACAGATGGGGGCTATGCTGCATCGTTACTTGTGCTAGTTAATGCTGGGCATGAATATTAGTAGTCTCGAACACTGAGCCCGAGCTTAGCTCATGACGGTGATGCAGATGGGGATGTCACGAAGTCTTGCTATTGGATTGCGTTTGCTCCTTGATCGGCATTCTATGTTACATAGCGGCTACCAAGCCTATGGTAGAGACAGAGTATGCGAGATCATATCGCGGAGAGGTCGCCGGATAGACTTACCCGCGTGATTTCTATCTGCGTTGTTCTCCGCGTACGTTCTAGAAATATACAAGCTCAGCACAGGACTCAAGACGCTAGAGGGTTAAATACCAAGTCCGAATAGAGCAGCCCTTGTGCTGCAGTATTCCCTAGCGGTTATCTGCACGTACGTACCCAAACTCGTACAAGATCAGCAAAGAACTTCAAGCACTCGAGAGATTACGTTCTAAGTTCAGACCGGCGTAGATGATCAGTGTTGGCGCGAAGGAGCTTGCTGCCAAGTGGAACAACGGACGTCACTAAGGAACGGGCGGTCACATTTGATGTTTTCCAGCAAGTTTTATCGCGTCGGTACCGAATGGAAGACCGGCACATGTTCCTTGGCGAGAATATGCTCTTCCTCTTACGGCAAGCCGAAGGATCGAAACCTCTATACGCGCAGCGTACGCCAAGGAAATGAGAGCGAACTTACTCAGCCAGTGATTGCTTCGATATTCTTCAACCCTTGTATACCTTGATCTTGGAGGACACGATACTGTATCGGCTCTAACCTCCGTCCCTCAGGCCCGGAAAACCCCCTGCGCCGGAAAATAAGCGAGGTGCTTCGACTTTAAGCGAGCATCACTGTGCGCACACATGGAATCTCTAGACAGCCTTCGTAGACAGTGTACTGGGCATCCTTGTAAGTATCTCTAGCCGTTCCTCTGCAGTACAATACAGTTGCGCGGTCGCTATAACGCCTGTTGCACAAAGGGCCTCATCCGAGAGCGATACAAATTGCCTTTGATCTAGCAACACAGCGAAGATATTACGGCCATTGACATACACTAGGACATTTTGTGCAATCCTAACAGCCTTACCCTCAGGCGATATAATCATACCAGCCTTGTGGGTGCTGTGGCGCGCAAGATTATACAACGTCGACCCCCCTGTTAGAAATAGTATCAACAATAAGGCCTTGACAATGCAACTGTAGGCCATTATTGCTAAAACTCAGCTGGGGAGAGGATTTACCAATGGCTGTAGATGTTCCGAACGTCTGCGGGCCTACCAGGTTTGGAAATAAGTATGTTGGACCTCTGAGAGGTTGTTCGACCCGGCTATGTCGTATGCGACAGTCCCACTTCTAGTTAGCAACCTACGACGGGCACCCAATTTGACCTCACGGATCACCTCCACGAAGAGGCTCAAGATCCTTGAAGCCATCATTGAACGCACGAGCTGTGTTTGTGTACACTGTCACTGATGTTACATTGTAGTCTGGTTGTATCAACCGTGCAACCTGGCCTGGCACCAGGCCGAGGAGTGCATACACTTCGTCTCTATCATCAATGCATTCGGTCGCATTGGCAACCTCGAGCAGCCGTGCGAACATAAGCTTAGGATCTTGTGCAATGGGTGTCGCACTCATGATCGATAGGTCCTAATAGATCAGGTGCAAGCTCGTGGTAGACCAGGCACGCTCTTGAGAAACTACATCTTCCTAGACGCACCGGTCTTGGACGACTCAAAGATGTTCTTGCAGTGTTGCAATTCCTGCGCAAAATGTTGGCTAGTCGATCGTGGACGCACTAGACCTTAGTTAGACATTCGTACCGCCCATGACTATCTCTTGTATGATCTAGAGCCCGCTCCAGTATTCGCAATTCACGATCTGACGTAGTCCTAACCAGCAAGTACCACCCAAGAACTTCGGATCGTCACGCAACCTGCGTTCCAACTCGAACTCACACCCGGCATCTCTGAAAGCTGCCAGACCTTCAACGAGCTGTAAGCCAGCACCACTACTCGCCGTTGACCCTCCTAACCGCATAATAGTTGTTAGTCATTATAGGTGTCCTTTAGTAAATGCATTCGAAGCACTAAGGATATACTCCTCTGTACTGGTGAAGCACCCCGTACACCAGTACAATACAAGCAGTGCCAGTAGCGAAGGCATTAGTAGTGTTTGCGCGTGTGTTAGTGTTCGGACCGTGACAGGGAACTCTTGTAAGTCCTGCCCCCACCCTTGGCACGACTTCCTGTTACCTCGGTCTGATCTTCGGCGTTACTCTTCCGCTGTAATCATAATCACAGCCATCTCCTTATTGCGATCATCGGCCATCTCCGCAGCGCGATCATTCCTAATCAAGGTTAGATGGACGTCCCAGAAAATGTCTGCGCTTCTATCGGGATGCTCTCGAGTGGTCCCCAAAAGTCTGTTCCCTTTGCGCGCGCCGAGCGAGTGAATCGCGAAAGGAAATCATGCTCGCTGACAATGTCTTCTCTCCAAAGCGCATGCTTCGCTATGCGTTAAGCTACCTCGCATGTTACATATTCGGTGTACAGGCGGACTGTACCACGCACCTGATTGTTGATACCGACATCTTCAGCGACGTAGAGTACGTCTTGACCGCCGCAATTCCCCTGGCGACGAAATCAAAAGAATCTGCCATTTAACATATCTGCAATAGTGACGTCGCAGCCCTCCTTCTCGCCGCCACCCTTCCCAACGTCTCCCTCCTTGCCGTCAACGTGAACTATCCCTCCGCGTATTCCCCGCTTGCGGCTTCCGCCGTCCTGAACTTCTACGGCCACCCAAATACATCCATTGGCATGCGCCGCCCTTACGCCAATGAGAGCTTCTTCGACGACTGGGCGTACGAACTGGGCGAATACACGTCGAAAGTGGCATATCACTTTTCGGGCGGGTCGTTGCCATGGTTCAAGCCGGAAAGGTCATGGGAGCCCGTGGATCTGTATCGCAAGAGCCTGGCGGAGAGTGAGGACTCGAGCGTAACGATCGCTTCTATTGGCTTCTTCGACAACCTCTCCGGGCTGCTGAATTCGACTGGTGATGCGTACTCCCCGCTCTCCGGGCCTGAACTCATAGCCAAGAAGGTCAGGAAGCTGGCTGTCATGGGCGGTGGTTATCCCTCTGGTCACGAATACAATTTCTGGGGAGATAATCCGCTTACCACGGCACATGTAGTGAATAATTGGCCCCGCACTGTACCTGTCACGTTCTTGGGCACTGAGGTTGGGGATAACGTCCTGAGTGGGGCCAAATTGACAACCGAGGGGACCAAGGGCGATTTGGTGACGGCGGCATACGGATGGTACGTTGGATACGATACCACGCGAATGTCTTGGGATCCATTGACTGTTCTGTATGCGATCACGGGATTGGGATCGTTGTTCGAGTACGGGAACAGTGCTGGATACAACCACGTTTTTCCGAACGGGTCGAATGTGTGGGTTGTTGACGAAGGTGTCACGAATCAGCATTACCTGCAGTTAGCTATAGATAATGTGACAGTGGCAGATAAGCTTGACGGCTTGTATTTGGACGCGGTGCGGCGGTTCAGTAAAGAGAACTGAGGGTTCTTAGATGCTAGGAAAGTAGATTTCGCAACAAGACCTGTCGAACGTGCTGTCCAGTCTTTGCGCAGAGCGGGGTCGCGAAGGAGTTCGCGAACGCTCAATTTCCGGGGTTTCCCCTCCGTAGTCCACTTCATAGATCTGCTGTTGAACTCATCAGACACGTCCAACAAGGACTCTGTGCGAAGGTGACATCGGATCGTTGAGCCTTCGGGCTGGGGCACAATTTGAATCAGCCGTAGTTGCTGTTCCTCAAGTGGATAGTGCAGCCGGGTGCGACTTGCGTGACCACGTGTCATCCTTCTGAACATACATATTACTCTCTTCTGTGGTTGAGCACCCTTAGGCCGATTTGGAGGGCTGGGTATTAAAGGTGTTGCACTGAGCAGATTTGAGTAATGGCAAACCGAGGAAGGCTAGGATGACCCCGCTACTTGCCTGGAGGCCGCCCGCTTATATCTCTAGGGAGCTAGACTGCCACAAAGTCAAGCTGCAGTGTTGTTGCTCACTTCTACTGACTAATGTCGCGCCCTGCTCTAAAGTCAAAGTTGACTGTACCCCCTGTAACGTGAGTTCCTGGTACTACATAGCGACCCGATATGGGTCCGTAAAACACAGGTCCATTGTAGGCATGTGTAGCATAGCCATGGCTTTGCGGAACATCATCCTGAGGTAGAGTAGAATGCGCATCGCTAGAAGCTCTGTCGATCTCCCTTTGCAACCGGGCAAACGCCTTCCTCCGACCTTCTCCATATATGAGCGGCATATGCACGTCGAAGATGCCCAGCAGTGAGTATGCTGCATCCTCTTCGCGCTTTGTCTTGCGTTGCTCTACCCAAGACATGCGCTCGTCGACGGTGAGTCGATCCAGAGGGCGGCTTCCCTGAAGAGTCTCAACGCTGATTCCAGTAACACTGTGAAGTTCCTGCACCAACGAGTATTTGTTGCCGAGCCGCTCGCCCTTAGCCGAAAAGAACTCAACTGACACTGGGGCGACTAGCTCCTGAAGCGTCCAGCCACGTGTGAACCATCTGCTCTGCTGAAACGCACGGTCCCAGTGTTGTTGGGCAGGCGTGCTGCTGGTGAGGCTACTGGTGAGGCTGCTGGTCGAAACGTCGGATAGATATACGTAGCATCGGGCAGCGTCGCGATACCAGACAAACATAGAGTTGATGGCCTCAGTCAGCTCTGCGCTGCTTGATTTGTCAATGCAGCAAGTGTCTATCCAGAAGTAGCGGAGACCGTCTTTAGCTGCCTGGTCTGCGCAGAACTGGAGTTTCCGATAGCCGGCCTTAGTCGTACCTGCATCTTGCTCAAGATCTACCAATGTGACCTCTTCTTGATCTGGGCCCCAGGTATGAGATAGGATGGCATAACGTGGGATGGCATCGCCCACAAACTCTGTCAGGCTGTATCTATCGCCGTCCTTGCGTTGCAGAAGACGCATGATTCGTAGGCGACGCCAGAAGTTCAGCTCTAGATAATGTGTTTTGTTAGTCGGAGAAGGAGGAACGAAGACATGAGACGATGATAGAGATGCAGATGCTCCTAGACGGCAGGAGATGAAACGTCCAAGGCTGAGGCTGAGGCTGAGGCTGAGGCACGCTTGGCATCCTTCCAGCACGCGCAGCTGCAGACCTTCTCCGCGATCTATATTGTCCTTAATTCAACTCCTCGAGATCACAAAGTTCCGCGCAAACATCGACTTGCACCGTCCATGGCCAGCACGTTCCATGGAGCCATCGACGCTCATGTCGCCATTCCCGCTCCACATTGCGGGCCTGGTGGGACGATGAACTTCAACTTTGGGCCTGGCCGGGCAGATGGTACCCTACCTTAGGATCGCGTCGCCATGCTACCACCAGGCTAACCAACGCCAGGGCAAAAGCGCAGAGTAGAACCGTTCTCAACGGTGCCATTTGCGCCGGACCCTGACCTTGTCGACCGGCCTGGGATCGCCGCTTGGGTGCGCGACAAGTGCGCGGGACGGGGCGCGCGGGCAGCGCTGGTGGGTCTCGGCGGCGTAGGGTACGTCGACGTCGCTGTACCGACTACACGCACGCTACAACACGACTAACAGACGACAGCAAGTCGCAGCTCGCCCTCCAGTATGCCCACAGCATCCGCGATGCTGTGCCGCAGACGTTTGTGTTCTGGGTGCACGCCAGCACCCGGGCCCGATTCGAGGAAGCCTACAAAGACATCGCGAACCGGCTGGAGCTTCCAGGGAGGGACGATCCGAAGGCGAACGTGTTGCGGCTGGTGCACGACTGGCTGCGCGACGAGACGAATGGACAATGGGTGATGGTCGTCGACAACGTGGACGATGTAGAGACCTTCTTCCCATCGCGGAAGCGCCAGCGCCATGGAAACGAGACAGACGCCAGCGCCCAGATACCGCTGGCCACCTACCTTCCGCAGAGCCGCAACGGGGCGATACTAGTCACGTCACGGAGTCAAGACGCAGCGACCAGGCTAGTGGGAGGCTACAACCGGACCAAGGGAGTGCTTGCGATGGACGAGGAAGAAGGCATGCACCTCCTTCGCAACAAGTTGCAAGACCCGCCAGTCGAAGAGAGCGCTCTAGATCTGCTGCGCGCGCCGGACTGCATACCTCTCGCCGTCGTCCAGGCGGCCGCGTACATCAACCGACGCGGGCGCATGACAATCGCTGGCTATCTAGCCGACTTTCGGAATGACAGCAAAAAGCGCGAGAGGCTGCTCAAATGGGACGCGGGCGAGCTGCGCCGCGACGAGAGCGCGTCCAACTCGGTGGTGACAACGTGGCAGATGTCGTTTGAGCAGATCCAGCGGGAGCGGCGGTCGGCAGCCGAGCTGCTGTCGCTGATGAGCTTCTTTAACCCGCAGGGAATACCTGAGTTGGTGCTGCGAAGACACAGTAGAGCAGCTGCAAGAGAGGCGGAGTTGGAGGATGACGAAGACGCAGACAGTGCGTTTGACGAGGACCTAGACACCCTGCAGGCGTATTCCTTGGTTACGATGACAGCAGATACTGACGCATTCGAGATGCACGCTCTGGTGCAGTTCTGCACGCGAGTATGGCTATCGTCGTGCAGCGATGCACAGCAGCGGGAGCAGCGGTTTGTGGTGTTGATGGCGCAAGAGCTGCCTGACGGGGAGCATGAGAACTGGACAAAGTGCCAGCAGCTGCTTCCACACGTCGAACCGCTCTTTAGCACTCAGCCGGCCGGCGAAAAAGCATTGAAGGCATGGGCGCAGGTGCTTTACAATGTAGCATGGTATCTTAGTAAGATAGGAAACTATAGTGTAGCGCATCAGTTAGCAGCAAAGGCAGTTGCCGCCAACGAGAAAGCATGGGGGCGGGAAGATCTGAAGACAATGGCTAGCATAGATGTACTGGCGGCAGTGCTGGGGTTTCAGGGCAAGTACGAGGAGGCAGAAACGCTTCACCGGGGGATGCTAGAAGTAGAAGAGACGCATCTAGGTGACGACCACCCCGACACGTTGACAAGCATGAACAACCTAGCAATAGATCTCCATTGCCAGGGCAGGTACGAAGAGGCAGAAACGCTTCACCGACGGGTGCTAGAATGGTCAGAGAAGAAGCTGGGCCAGGATCACCCCGACACGCTGATGAGCATGAACAACCTATCAGTAGTTCTCCAGGGTCAGGGCAGGTATAAGGAGGCAGAGACGCTTCACCGGCGGGCGCTAGAAGGAAGGGAGAAGAAGCTAGGCGAGGGCCACCCTGACACGCTGACGAGTATGAGCAACCTAGCGGCTGTGCTGCGCCTGCAAGGTAAGTACAGCGAGGCAGAGACGCTCAATCGGCGAGCCCTAGAAGGGTCAGAGAAGAAGCTAGGCCAGAACCACCCGGACACGCTTAACTCTGTCAACAATCTCGCTGTCCTCTTGGGGACGCTGCACCGGTACCCAGAAGCGGATGAGCTCTACCAACGAGCGTGCGATGGGCTCACCCAACAGCTTGGTTCTCGGCATCCACATACTATCATGGCTCGCAAGAACTTTGCAGCTATGCAGCAAAAGGCAATAGAAGCTAGATTAGCGCAAGGTGATGATCTACCTCCAGGCAGCTCCAAGCGTCCTTATACCACTAGGACTCGTAAAACAGACGTTGACTAGATAATACGCCACTTCTAGTCAAGATAATGCATAACCTAGGGTTCACGGCACATATTGTACCCGTGTATATTGGTGAGAGATCTCCCACTCGTGTCCGTAGACGGATGGTCTCCGTTGATATGATCTTCATCAGTACTGGGTCTGTCCTCGCATACGCCTTCGACTCGGCTTTCCAGCACGTTCCTTATGGCTGGAGATACGTAGTGAGCTTGGGTGCGTGGCCATGTATCCTGCTCGGGCTCTTTCTCTTCATGTGCTCAATAAGTCCTCGTTAATTAATGTACCACAATGAGTGGGAGCAATGCATCGAAGTCATTCGTCAAGCTTATCCCGACGTTATTGACGAGCAGATGAAATGAGACGCTGTCATACTAGATTTCATCGGCGTGGTACTCCGTGAATCAGAGATGATCGAAGTCATACGCGGGATGATGCCTCATTGGTAGGCCTGCGCTCTACCTTCCCTTTGTAATACCGATAGCTATGCTCTTCGCACATCGTAGTATGATAATGGCGTCCACGGTCGATGAGGGTTGCTCTGACGTTGTTTGGATCGTCCACAATTTGTATCGGTACAATAGATAATTCTGAGATCGCTCTCATTCCTTTATATCTCTTAATGAAAAAAGGGGTACCTTTGTGTGATCAACTTGCCGTCGCTGTAGCCGAGATCCCACAACGACCACTCCCACTTGCCCGCAGAGGACGCTCTATCAGAGCTCGAAGATGCCTTACCCTTACACAGATAGTTCATTGGCTCCACTACATACTCGGGAAATTGTCCTCCTTCTTTGGGATCGTCTTGTCTAAACACAATCGTGCCAGGCCCGAAGAGGAGCCACAAGTAGTCAAAACTTGCACACTTCTGCGCATGCATCTCGACCTCGGATTGGAACGATTTGAAATAGAAAGCCCGAACTGGGGGTGCATTCAGTAAAACCCATAGATGTTCACCAATGGCTCTGTTGCATTGCACATTGGTCTGCCAGCCAGTTTAGGAGTCAATGAATGATATTGACGGATTTCCATTCTCACATGCGGCCAGATCCCGTTGTAATTCGTCCCAAAAGTGGAATACAATTGAGTACGGATGATCGAGAACGACTTCTTCTCCCCGGAGATCTTGTGCCGGGTAGTAAGGTGCTATGTTCATAAACATGACAAGCAATTCTGGCGACAGAATTCTGATGGCGGGAGGGGCCGTCCCGTTCACTCTATAATCGTGACCGAGCTTGAATACGTCGATATCCCTGTCGCCTTCGCGTCCAAGACTTTTACGGTTTTGATTGAGTCGTTGGGTCAGCGCTGTCCCCCACACCTGAGTTTTGACATCGATTGGAGCTAATTGGCGCCGTTCTACAACGTTTTGTTCAAGCCTTTCAAATGGTTCCCAGACGTACCTCGCGATTCGTCCGACGGTGGAGTGGTCTCGATACCGCTGTGGTGAAGAGCGCTTCCAAGAAGAATGACATCAAAGAGAAGAAGTAGCCACCGGAATGATACGCCATTGTTCCAGCGATTCGATATTCGCTCTGCAATCGATTTCGATCGAATCCATGGACTACATAATGCGCATAGTCCAAGCCAAGCAACTAAGATGACGCCTTACCATTTCCTGTCTAGCCTCGCCAAATCTCCAGATTTTGTTGGTCGAACGACGTGTCACTATGCATACACTTTACTTTACACCATGCCGCATCTCTCCGGTAGCCGACAAATAACTCCGCCATGGACGATCCAACCAGTCCCACCTCAGGCAGTCAACGAAATTATTAAGTTCATCAATGAAGCTCGCAAGGTCATGTTTTCCGGTCGTTCGTTACCACCAGACACTACATCCCTATTCAGTGACGGTAGCTGCTTTCTCGAAGCGCGCGACGGCAAGGATTTGATAGCCGTTATAGGCTACGTACGCTACGACAACCGGCATCCTCAACTCGACTACCACGCCGTGCGGACACTCGAAATCGTGCGATTGTTCGTGCAGCCCCAGTATCGGCGTTGTGGACTCGCGGCCGAATTGTTCTTAAAACTTTATGAGAGAGCTGTCGAGGAGGATGTCGAATGTCTTTACCTGCATTCGCATCCGTTTTTGGACGGTGCGATTAGGTTTTGGCAGAAGCGAGGATTTGAGATTGTTCTTGTGGAGGATGATCCGAAGTGGCAGACTACGCATATGGAGATGACGCTGAAAAGGAGGGAGTGAATAGAGGGGCACTACGTGGGTTTGTGGCATGAGATGGGAGATTGGAGGACGATCGACCTAGAACCGTGGGCGATGCTTGGCCACGAAGAACTTCGCAAAAGCTGACTCAATATATCGCGCATAGTTGCAGGCATTGATCGCTCGAATGATTCATCGATGTACGCCGGGGATGTCCGTGGGTTGAGAGTGGAAATGAAAGTTGGGGACACGCCACTAGTTAGCACCAACAAGACTCTGGGCTGGCTATCTCACTGTAAATCTGAGGCTATCTGCTGTGAGCATACTTAACTCAGTCGTAGTCGCAATTATGACTGCGATGATAATAGTGTTCTTGAATCTACGCCCACAGTAAGCATTTTAAGTGACAACAATCAGGAGTCACAACATACCTGTCGAATATTGAGCGGCAATCTGCAAGATGATACTATTTCCCGAAACTGTACGGATGGGGTAGGGTTAGGTTGCCCCCAGGGGCGAAAAGCGTGGCTGCCCCCAGGGGCAAGAGACTACGAAGGCTGCCCCCAGGGGCAAGACACTACAAAGGTTGCTCCCACAGCGAAGGATAGAAGCTGCCTCTAGCGGGACAAGCTAGCAAGGGCTAACAAGGCTAGGCACTGCTTGCCCCTAGGGGTAAAGAGGTCTGTACTAGAATTCGCGTACGTTACCTCTACCTATAATTACGCTAGCACTGTATAGCTTCTCTCTAACTAACCTTTCTCTCTAAAGACACCTCTTTGTTAGTACTCTCTACTTCTAACTAAAGAGCATCTACAATAAAGCGCAAAGGCGTAAACGTCTTAGTAGAAGTAGGTAAGAGGCAACATATAGCTATAAAAGAGATAAGAGAGGCAGACTGCGTCTATAATTAAGCTGCGCCGTACTTACTAGTAACAGTGTAATTCCTAATTAACTCGCTTACTTTAGAATAAAGTATTAGGGTAAATAGACTTATTAACTAAGCCTATAAGCGTCGCCTCTGCTAGGTTTTTAACAAGGCAGGCGTTCTTTAGCAAGACGTAAGCTACTAGTTATAGGTTGCTTGTTTAAAGGCGTAAGTATAGTAGATACTAGACTACCTAAAAGAGGAGAGTCTAGCTTAGACTACTACTATAGTAGCTAGAAGCGCAGAAGGGGATTTAAAGTAGCTATTGTTTAAAAAGTAGGAGAGCGTTATTAAAGAGAAGGTAGAGCTTATTATAGGCTACTATTAAGTAGAAGCTTTTAAGGAGTATCTTTAACTTTATAAGTTACTAAAAGATAAGCAATAATAAGTATACAGCATCTATAATAAAGGTTCTAGCTGCTGCATATGCTAAGCAAGCTAGGAAGCTAATCTAAAGGATAGACACGCTTCTGCTCTACTTGCGCATCTAGCTTTAGGCTAATTAAAAAAATATTATCCTTCCTAATAGCTATAGTTAGATATAGACAGAGTTAGCTGCCTTGTCCTCTAACAATAACTAGCTGTTTTAAGGTTTAAGTAAGTTAGCAAAGCAAGAGATACTAAAGCACCTACCCTAGAGGATGTGCGCGATTGCACTACAATCGCGCTGTTTTGTTAGTAGCGATAAGAATGCGATAAGAAGCGAGGCGTAGGATCGCGGTAGTAGGATCGCGGTTAGCTAGCTACAC